GATGATGATGATGATGATGGTGATGATGTGAATAACTGATGATAATTAAGATGATGTGGAGACTGATGATGATGATGACAATGGTAATTATGATGATGATGATTGTGATAATGGTGATGATGGTAAAGATGATAATAGTGATAATGATTATGATGATGATAAGTATAATAACAACGATAGTGATAATGACTATTTTGATATTTTGATTATTTTTTCTAACAGATGGGTCTCAGCCACAAAGGCAGCCAAGACAACATGTTGGTCCACGTAAGTTTGAGTACTTCCTGAAACTTCACAAAATATACCCTACACAGACTTTCCCCACCCCTGAGAAATTCCAGTCCCCCTCCATTGGCAGATATTCTATTGATCTTGTATCTAATTTGATTTGAATCATTCAGCCCCCCTCAAAGGTGATTGCTGGTTCTGTCTTGGCAGTCCTAAAGTGGAGAAACATCTTGTTCTTAGTGTGGGCAACCTGGTAAGATCACCTATTTCAAAAAAATGTTGTTAGTCTAGCAATTTTACGATAACTTACAAATTTCTCACTCACTGATTGGTTATTTTTTATCACCAATAAGAGGACAGACAGACGCTCTTTCTGTTGGTTGTTTTGATCGCTAAAAATGAGAAGTTTAGAAATATAGTTTTTATCGTTTTTGTTATCGTAAAAAACAAATAGACATCAGTTTTTTATGTGTCTGTCCTCTTATTGACGATAAATTTTGTCATCACATTGTCAAAGTAGTATGCAGATCCACACTACTTTGACAATGTGATGATGCAATTTATCGTCAATAAGAGGAAAGACACATAAAAAACTGATGTCTATTTGTTAAATATATGAACAATTTGCACCATCTCAGATTTAAGATTTCTGACTGATCTCTGACCGACAACGTTTTTTGAAATACATTTATACTTCCACACAGATCTTTCATGTCACTTGGGGGGATTTGATTTTGCAATGTCTTTATCTTTCTATTCTCATGGGAATGCTCTGTAAACCATTTTGCTATTTTTAAGTTAACTCTTTTTTTATTATTCACAGTGTTATCTTGCACTTGCAAAAGGAGGTTTGGTAGATGATCATATTCTCATTTGTCCCATTGCACACTTTGAATCCTCTGTAAAACTGAATGAGGTAGGTCATTTGTCATCATCATCATCATCAT